CATCAATGCACAAAAAAGTTAGCTATCGTGAGAGTAATGGTGCAGCCCAGGGCGGCAGGAGGTGTGTAAGAGTCCTTGCAGAGTGAAATGGACGGGCTCTGGGGACTGGTGGGATGCGGTGAGAAACAGGAGTCAGGCCGCTGAAGACTCTCTGATAACTCGACTTCTTAAATCTCTTCTCTCTCACCCTTCAAAACACACAGGCACATGCACACACATCCACACCATGTGCAGTCATGCACTCATTCACAAAGACAGAAAAACAAGGAGGAAAAGGCTTGGGGCTAAAAAAAAAGATTAGGATTTTTTTTTCTTCTACAGGATACACTGGAAACACTGGAAGCACTGGAAGAATATCCATGTGGAGACAACCACTTGAAAGTTGAACATTGGTCTTGAACTCTAGAGAAATGGCAGAGTTAGGGACAGTTTTAAGGGTCACCTACATTGACCTAATGGTTAAATCAGTAGTAAGACAAAAATGACAAATGAAAAGGTGCAGATGAAAGAAAAAAAGCAAATTAAAACACACACACACACACACGTGAAGCCTGCCTGAAGGCACTGAAGACCAGGTAGAAGGAAAGAGAAAGAAGAAGAGTCAGTAAATGAAGGAGGCTGGGGTGTGTTTGCATGTAGGCAAGGGATTTAGAGATGACAGTGTAATGGGAACCAAGGTCTCTAAGGAGACCACCCGTCATAGTGAAATGCAGAGGTCAGACAGAAGAGGTCTGGGGGGCAGTGAGTTGGCCATTAGGAAGTAATTTAAGATGCAGGGCAATTCTGGGGAATGCATTCTCTATGCAAATGTGGAAGCTATCTTACATGCAAGTAAAAATTAAGACATACAGGAAGGAGAGAACTGACGGACTGGAGCAAAGAACCTTGGGAAGTAATCTCAAAGCACACAAGAAGGTGGAAAAGCCTGAAAACTGTGGAAAAGCCTGAAAACTGTGAAAGAGCCACTAGGTTAGGTGAACTGGAAGTCCCTGGTACCCTCTGAGAGCCACAGAATGGAATAGCTTATCTTCTGAGTTGTACATGTGTGAATTACAAACCCATGAGTACATACGTAATTTTGGCAAAAGGGCCCGTTCCATGTGGTGAGCTCAGCCCCTTGGGAACTTAATTATCAAAGCTACTATCTAATGTGATGAAACAAAAGCCAGGCGATTCATTGAGATCTGGGTGATTTGCACCCACAGGTAAAGAGTCAGGGGATGCTCAGTCCCAGCAGAGAACCACAAGTCTCATTGGATAGACTAGCTTCAAAAATGCTCAGCTCGGGAAGGAACGAAAACTCTAAACTGAAAAGATACACGCACCCCATTGTTCACAGCAGCACTATTTACAATAGCCAAGACATCGAAACAACCCAAGTGCCCATTAACTGATGACTGGCTTAAGAAGATGAGGGGTGTGTGTGTATGTATGTGTGTATATACATACACACACAACGAAATATTACTCTTCCATAAAAAGAATGAAATATTGTCATTTGCACCAACATCGATTGACCTAGAGAATATTATACTTAGTGAAGTCAGACAGAGAAAGACAAATACTATATGATATCACTTATATGTGGAATCTAAAAATATTACAAATGAATCTATATACAAAACAGAAACAGACTCACAGACAAAGAAAACAAACACATGTTTACCAAACGGGAGAGGGAGGGAAGAAGGGAGGGACAAATAATTAGGAGTATGGGATTAATAGACACAAACTATTATACATAAGATAGATAAGCAATAAGGATTTACTGGATAGCACAGGGAACTATATTCAATATCTTGTAATAGCCTAAAATAGAATATAATCTGAAAAAAATAACTGAATCCCTTTGCTGTACACCTGAAACTAACACAATATTGTATATCAACTATACTTCAATTAAAGAAATAAATCAATTTAAAAAATGCTCAGCTAGATGCTCAATGAAAAACTCGACACGTGTTTTCCCCGCCAAACATCTATTCCACGCACACCCTAAGGCCCCAAACCTCGGCGTTAATACTTTAGCTTTCCATGCTTCATGACTAACACCACTACCATCACTGCTCTGGATAACTGACCGTTTTGGATCCGGAGTCTCACATTTTCTCCTCTCTCACAGGCAAGATATTAAATTCATTGTCTAAGGAAAGTCCCCGAGGCCACCACAACGTGCTGGCATTGCCGCTGTCGTACCTCTGCCTGGTCCCACCCATGTTCTCCGAGACACGCATGTGTATTGGTAACGAGTGGGCAGCTGGGAGGTCTGGCCCAGGCGGCCTCTGGAGGCTGGTGGATGAAGACCAGCTACATGAGGCGCAGGGCTGCACAACTGCCTCAGGTGAGCAGCTATCATCAAATTCCTTCCCGGCCACGGGCGCATTGCAAACATACGAGAAGACGGAGCTCTCCACCCACCATGCAGCTTGGTTTAGTCTATAGCAGTTGATCCTTGCTCTGTTCTCTATTTCTGTTACCATGAGCAGTGGGCTTATGCAGCTGCGTTCCTGGCAGGACTCAACAAAGCTTCCTTTCCTTTAATAGCAAGGCAGCCACCTTCATCAAGAAGGAGACAGAATTCCAACCCCCAGAGCCAAAAGGTGAGGCAGAAGGAATTCCAGGTCTTTTAGCTTCTGGAATCCATCAATAGGGGCCAAGTGGCAAACTGCAGGCACGATCACACTGAGTTGGTTTTAAAACTGCGTTCTATTTCTCATTTCTAAGTCGTCTTCACTGAAACCTGAAAGTTTTTCTGCGGGTTGGATGGTGAACATTCGTTTCCCCTCCTCTAGGGCGAACAGTCTGACTTTCCCCCAGAGAACACTGCTGTCTAAAGCAGGCTGTGGGCCACGCGGAAAGTGACCCACAAGGGTCTCATTGAAAAGTAAAAACTGAACAACTCTACTGAAACCCAGAGCCAAAGTACTGAATCCTCATAGACTCTGTCCAGATGGTTAATACTTGATTTTCTCCGTGCTCACTGCTGCTCCTTATGGAGGTACCACATCTGCTCAAGAGTTAAAAACAGGTGTCCTCTCCAGCCATAAACAAGATTTTCAGAGGCGATTCTGAGGCCCCTGTGCGGACTGCATGTAGCAAAAACAGAACTCTGAAACTCATGAAACTTTGAAGGCTAGATGTCTCAAAAAGTAAGGATCTCCAAGGGAGCAAGGACTCTTAAGAATGTCACCGAGAAAGAGAAGAATGGGGTCATGAAAAGCAAAGTGTACCATAAAATCCGGCACAGGCTTTGTGAATAGCGTGATTCCATCAGTCTTCACGTGGAGCTGGTTTATACTGAAAGTGAAATGCCTAAAAGCAGACTTCCAACTCCTAGCTTTCCTGAAGTAGCAGCACAGCCTCCACTTCAAATCACAGATTATTTCTGACATAAAAAAGCAGCCGTGGAGAATGTAAGAGGCCTCTTCCTCCAAAAGTGTGTAGGCTCTGATCCCACAATGTCATCACTCATCTTCCAGTCCAGAATGACATGGAAATTCTCCCAGCACTTTCTATCTTACCTCCTGGCCCCTTGGTCCTGAACTCACAGACCCTGTGTGGTAGGCAGAACAACGATGTCTTCGTCCTAGTCCCCAGAACCTGTGACTACACGGAAAAGGGGATGAAGGTGGCCAATCAGCTGACCCTAATACAGGGAGGTTATTCTGGAGTCTTGGGCCCAATGTTATGACAAGTGTCCTTAACAGAGGAAGAGGGAGGGCCGGAGGTGTGATGAGGGAAGCAGGGTCAGAAAGATGCTATTTGTCTGGGTTTAGAGATGGAGGAAAAGGGCTACAAGATGAAGAATGGGGGTGGCTTCTAGAAGCTGGAGGAAAAAAAGGAAACATATTGTCTCCAAGCTTCTGGAAAGGAATGCCAGTGACCTCTTGATTTGAGTCCACTGGAGTTATGTTGGACTTCTGACTTCTAGAACTGTAAGGTAGTAAATCTGTGTCATTGTAAGCCACTAAATACGTGATCATTTGTTACAGCAGCAGTACAAAAACTAATACCCACTGTCAGGAAGCACAGACCTTGAAGAACAATACTGCAACTCTAGGACAGACAGTGCCTGGGTTTCTCTGGCAATAGGACCTCCTCATTTACTTTCCTTCTAGTAAAACTTTTCAGCATCCAGTGCTAATCCTCAGAAAGGATGATATAAAATGGTGAGGCACCTTCTAAATTTGTGTGGGGCAATGGGTTGGGGTAGGGGGAAGGTGCCTCTGGAGAAGTTAATCTTTTTTTCTTCTCATTTTTACTGCAGAGGAATGTAGCGCTACTGTTAGAAACTCAATCCCTTTCTAATGGACTTGCATTAGTGTGATTTTGCAATCTGTCTTTTCAGTTTCCCTGTTCTTTATTCTTCAAAATATCCCTGTGTGCTTTGAATGTCTGGATAATCTTCTACGATGATCTAAATCTAGAGAATTTTAGCTCACAAAGCATGCGGATTTTTGTACTTTGCCCTCAACACAATTCAGGTGACATCGGATAATATTTAACACTATTTGCTGTTATAACAGCAAACAGTCCTGAATTAGGAGGGGAATAACTTAATTAGGCTGCTAGGACTTGGAACAGCAGATATAAGGATATTAATAGATTCTACAATGCATGGGCTTTGTTGTTGTTGGTATGTTAGCCTTGTTTTTAACTGGAGAAAAAACAGCAAGAGATCCTCTGAGTAAGTTAATATATTATAGACCAAGAACCCTTTCATGTACAGATTTTCAGGACCCCCCTGGAGTAAGGATATAACTAAACTCCATGCTTAGAGGTGAATTAGGATGTGTGAAGCCCTGTTTCAATCCCTTTACTCCAAATGATCAGGCAATCTGATTTCTCTACCAATGAACAAATAATGAGTTATCAGACAAGAAGAGCAGTAAGAACCCCCCAGATCTGGTGTTTGGGTGTGATTACACAGGGAACCAACGCCAGAAGGAGGGATGGTTCAACCCACAGAATTCAAGTAAAAATAGAACAGGGACACTTACCCTCACGTCTCCGTTCACAGTTTTCGGCGTGTGGTTGAATGCGTGGGCAGGATCCTTGTTGTACACTTTGAGAAGGGATCTGTCCTGAATGTTCCTGGAATCGGAAACATCAATAACTATGGCAGATGAAAGGAGCCTTATTTTGGCCATTTCCTCCGTCTGCCCGTAAGAATCAGGTAAAAGACATCCACAGACAATCTAGCCGTTGTGTGCGATCAACCAGGCAAAACATTCTTTTACCATAAAAATAGGCAAAAATAAATAAGGCAAAGGAGAAAAATGACTTCAGCTTTTCTTTCCTTTCCTTTTTATTTTGGTTCCTCAGCAAAGTACTATTCTTTCCCCGTAGTTCTCCACCTGTAAACATCGGGTAGCATAAACCTTCTTTCAAGATTCTGGGTAATGAAAGCTAACACTTTAAGAAACAATAAAGCTCCCATATTTACAATACATTCAAAGGGATTTGGTTAATATTTAAATATTTAATTGTTTACTTTGCCCAGACACCTGGTTTTCTGCTTATCTCACGAATACATGCAAAGGAAAAATGCTTTTTTTCCCTTCAAACACCTTAAGCAAGGGAAAGAAAATGTATTTGCAGTCCAGAAAAAAAAAAGTACCACAAAGATCAAAACTAGTATCTCTACGATGCCTTGTTTTTCTTCCATAGTGGATTTTTTTTTTCGAAGGCATTTAAAAATTTTACTAGATTCTTCTCTCCATAGTGGATTTTTAAAAGTACTGTTCTACATACAAGCTGAATTACAGGAAAAGCAGCGGATAAATTCTTCCGCTGGTCTGTCTCTCCCTCTGAAAACACTTAGAACCCTGGAGTCACTCGTACTGCTGCAAAGGACAGAACCACAATTCGCTAAGAGCCTACCTCAAAATTATTTAAGAGCTTAGGAATGTCTACAAAGTCCTTCGCCCTCCACCTGCGGCTTTCATCAGCAGAAGGGACACCCCCAGGAACATTTAGCCCCGTCTACACTGAGATTCCTGCCAGTGCCAGCGTGGTGAGCTCAGGGAACCCTGTGCAGGAAGACACGTTCCTTTCCTCCAGCTGCAGCCACATGTTTTGTGGGCTGATCGCAATCATTGGGATTATTGTGTTGTGCTTCTGTTTTCAACGAAGCGGAGCATCCTTGGACGAGGTTTGCTTCCCTCCAACAAATACCCATCAGTGGTTGCTTTAAAGCAGTGACTAGCCCCAGCTTGCACAGTTGCTCCAAATTTCAAGCAGCTCATTAGAAGTCTGCTTAAGGGGAGGCGTGCGGTCCTTGTTATTAGAAGGGACTAAGTTACTAGGAGGTAAAGAGGTTGCGGAAGAAAAGGATGTGGGGATTCACTGCAGGAACTCACCCTGTGGCTGGGAGGAGGAGGGGGCAAAGTCCCAAGGGACGATGTAAAGAAACTGAAAACCTTACTTGAGCCATGAAAAAAACTCAGTGTGGGTCTGAAGGTATTTAAAACACAGGAGGTTGATTTATTAATTTAGAAACATGTTCATCCAAGATGAACCAACAGTAAAGGCCCAGCTTGCGTTTAGCATGGCGACATTTACAACACAGAATTTCAGCCTAAACTCTCTGTAGCATTTCCCTAAGGAAAAGATGGAGAACCCAACACCATGATGAAAGAACCAAATGTTTAACAAATATACCGTCACTTCAAAAATATTGGATGTGAAATGAAATTTGTCTCTGGGTTTAGAAGACTAAAGCCAGTGTCTTCAGCTAAAATCTACACGTTACATTTTTTTTTTTCTTGCAAGGAGTGAGGTTCTATTTAATGCTGATGGTGAAATAAAATAAAATAAAATATACTTGGGGCATTTTATGCATAAAAGCAAAGAATAATAATTCTTTGGAAAGGACATACATGTGATCATCTCACATAAATATTATAATCATCACCACATAAACACATTTTATCCACTTAAATATTTTGAGATCTACTTTTTATATGTAAATCAAAACACTGAAAAGTAAAATTATAGACAAATTTATAAACAAAGGACTTTCCACTTAAACATTTTAAATGAGATTTAAAAAAAATCAGGCTATCAGTACCGCAGCCTAAGAATCAAGGAGACCATCACTTCCACAAATAGAAACAAACTAACTGAAAATTATTATTGTTTAAAGTGATCACTTCTCTCAAGCTCTGCTTTCATTTATTGGGTTGGCCAAAAAGTTCATTCAGGTTTTCCATAACATCTTATGGAAAAACCAGAATGAACTTTTTGGCCAACCCAATATTTTATCAACTGAATTTGCATCAAGAAAGATCATCTCAGTTTGGAAGTTTTGGGTACCTTTTCCTCTTTGTCGTCCCTCCCATTTCTCCTTTTGTGACTACGTCACACATTCCCAAAGAATGTGTGCAGAAAGTCTTAGTAGTCATACTCTGAGGCTTGGGAAAGCCTCTAGAAAATCATGACTCATTGTAATACAAAAATTCTTGTACGGGCTGCAAGACAGTGGGGTCCAACTGCTTACAATAATCTCATCAGCCTTGAGCTCCACAATCAAAAGTGGCTTTGTGTAGTTTCATGTGTATTTATTATTACCATATCCCTCAAGTTCTCTAACTGCAAAACGCAGAAATTCAAGAAGATGGTTGTCCATGTTAAACCACTACATGGGATTATATTACTGTGAACATACTGTCTAAATATCATGTGATGACTTCATGTTTAAGTTTATGCTTTCTAAATTCAGGATTTTCCTGGTGACAGCTTGATTAATAATTTATTTCAAAAAACAAATGTGAATTTTCTGAAACCCATGAATATTGAAACATGTTTTTAAAAAGCAGGAAGGTTGGGTAACAGATAGAGCACCTATACCTGAGGGCATGTGTCAAACCTTGAAAGCTCTAAATTACTCATATGCCTTGGTACATGCCTAAATATGTCATTTCAGATCACTGTTAGATATTTATCAGTTTACATTTATTATGCACTAAAGGCATATTTTAAAAAAGTAGTTCCTATTAATTCCATGATGAAGGAACAGGAAAGTCTGCTATCCCCACAGGGAAGGGATCCACAGGTCCAACTTGGGGCCCAGATGAGTTGAGGGGAGAACATTCTGAGGGAATAAAAAATTCTTGGCCCAGAATATGGACAGTCAGGTTTGGGTCTGGGTTTAGAAATTAATCGGCTACATGATCTTGAGTAAGTCTTAACATTTATGCATCTGAGGTTCTGGTCCCATCAAATGAAAGGGCTGGATGAGTCGCTCAATCATTTTTTTCCGCTCTAGAATGTTCAGCGGCTATACTAGCGACTGCTTACTTGCGTTGATTTAAGTCCTGTTTCTCAGGCTTGTTTGGCTGGAAGAGCTCAGATGGTCCCTTCTGTTCTATGCACAACACCCCTGCGGTTGATAAAGACGTTTCTCTTTCCATGCCACCTGCCACAGCATGACTCCATTTAGCCTCGTTTTAGAGTACATTTTACTAGAAGCCCAGGAGAAAGCTCACTGAGAAAGTGGGATCCTTTAGTAAAGGCCAACTATTTAAGAAACAAATGGAAAAGGAACGCTTCTTAGCCTCCTTTCTTGTGGACAATAGCATAGAGTCCACTGCTTTTATTCTAACTTGTTCGTATAAAGAATAGGCCAGTGAGATCATTACCTAAAATGTCTACAGGCTCTGTCTGTGATGACAAGAACCCTTGAGAAGGAGTTGGTTAAATTCCACCTGTAAGTATAACCTTCAACTCATATGATCTTTCTGGGCCTTAGTTCTCCTAACTCTTAGATGAACAGCAGACTGGCTCATTTCTTCTATTCCTTTCAGAAGTAACATGCAAAGATCTGTGTGGGAGAAGTCTGTCCTCACCTTTGTAAACCAAACCTTGTCAATAAGTTCTAGAAAACCAGATAGTGGTTTCACACCTGGGTAAAATAAACCTGCCCACCAGGACAACAGGTGTGCTTTCTTCACTGGAACACAAAGAGATAAGCAGTCGGAACCAACTGTCAACGCCAGATGGTGGACACACGCACATGAACAAATGACGTAACTGCTTACCTGACATCATTTAACTCATAATAGACATTTCTGCTTTCATCTTTGATGTAAATGGCGACACTGGGCGACTCCAGCATTTTCATGGTGAGCTGCTGTGGAAAGGCACTTACGAAGAGAGCACGGATTGTGTCTGCACTTGTAATTTCATTCGGCATCCTGAGCTGCTTGGTTTCATCTCCATACTGGAGATAAAGAACCCCTGCACACAAGATGGACACAGTTATCAGTCGCAGACCAAGACTCAACGACACACAGCACAAGCTAAGCCACTTCTGCCCTACCACAGGCAGGAATGTTCCGGACACGCTTGCAAAGCACATCACCAGAGACATGTGTTTGGAATTTCCAAGAAATGCACTCTCTGGTTATGATGTAAATACCCACTTTTATTCTTTGGAGTCTGGGCAGGTGTTAAAGAGGCTCATTTTCAACTATTTTAAAACCAAAAGGACAAGAAGCTAACCTTTGGTAACCTAAGGCAAAAGACAACAATACTCAATTCCCTTGAAAGGTATATTTAGGAATTTGACCCCATAGGGTGAATTTTTTCCCACATCTTTCACTGACCAGGAACACAATCATTATAGCCATAGGTAAACGACATAGGTTATGTCTTTATGTCCATTCAGAAATGTTTTAGGTGGAAATGCATTTCTGTGGCTCTAATACATATTGAATGTTAATATCAAATGAAAATATCTGCAAGAGCCTGGTGCCCCAATGTATCAGAAAGAAAATGGAACAAATCAGTTACACAAAGAACAACACAAGCACAGGATCATAGCATTTTAAACTTCCAGGGGGCATGTGGTTCCCCATGAACCATGCCTCCCAGCCGTCACGGCCCTGTGGAGTGTCCCTTCCCACGTGGGGTCTGGGCTTGGCCACGTGACCTGCTTTGGCCAATGGGACACTAGCAAGTGTGACGCAAAACGGAAGCTCAATACGGGTTTGCACAAGAGAGCCTGCCTTCTTGGTGAGTGTGGTCTTGGACGCTCCCTCACGGAACCAAGCGTCCATGGAGCCCAACCGAGGCCACATGAAGAAGAACGGAAGCCCTGACTGACGGCCCCCGCTGAGCACCCATTCTCCAGCCAGGACCACTGGCCAGTCATGTGGGTGCACCATCTTGAGAGGGGAACCCTCAGTCCCAGGAGAGCTGTCCCAGCCGATGTCCCATGGAACAGAAATGAGATGCCCCCTCCACACACTGCCCAAATGGCAGAATCATGAGCAAATAAACAATTGTGGTTGCTTTAGGTCACTATGTTTAGGGTCACTTGTTGTTCAGAGATAGATAACTGCGTCGGGATGGAAGATCCTGACATTTCGTTTTGACTCCTACTTCTTGTGAGAATCTCCTGAGGCACTCTACCAGGACCAACAGAGTAATTGTTGGCAGGAGAGACTCGAAATAGAACAGAATGTGACTTGTGCTTAAATATGGCAGTTGATGTAACCAATTTATGTCCATCTCCTTCTGAAATTCCATTCAGATGACAATGAAGAATTAAAAAAGTGTACATCAAAGAATTAAGGGGAGGAGAGAGGAGACAACAGCAGACGAGAGAAAGCTGACACCTAGGTCTTCAAGCACAGAACTCTGCATAACTGCAGGGCCAGGGAAGTTCAGGAAAAGAGGCACCAGATCCTTCTGAAGCTAAGAACGCAGAGTGAGTGGAACGCATGAGGGCTGGCTGAATCTTTGTAATGGTGCAACACGCTTCCTCCATCCCCCTGTCTACGCCATTCAGCCAGGCGATTCCCCAAAGCCACAGCAGAACCACTGAAGAGGTTGAACCCACGGACTGGATTCTGGGTCACGAAGCACAGGGGAAGGTGCATGAGGTGCCCTCTGACAAAATTCTGGCAAAGGGCTGACGTCTTGGTCAGGAAACTGGAGGAAAGCTGACTGTCCTCCAAGAACAGACCAACAGATTTTTGAGGGTAAGGTTTCGATTCTGTCCGGTCACTCCATCGTGAAGCACCCTGGGCCATATATAAAAGCTTCCAGTGAGTACAACCGTGCCTCGCTTATGCATGAACAGACTAGCAAGGGTTAACAGACATTTCATAAAGCCTCTTTCATGTGAGAAATAAACAGAAAACAGAAACTCAGAAGAGATGAGACAGTCCAAGAAAAGGGGAAATTTGGAGGGCAAGAGCGAGCTCTGGGGACCATGAGAACAGAAATGACAAATTCAGTGGAGAAGAAAAAGTTGACGAAATCTCAAAAAGGGCAGCAAAACGACTACGAGAGGGGAAAAGGTGAGAACCAGTAAGAACAATAGAGAATGACTTCAGAGCCTCTCAATTCCTAATAATGGGGATTTGGGTAAGGAGGTCAGGAAAAGCAGAGCAGTTTTCCAAAAGTATTATCAGATTTTTTTTTTTTTCTCCCCAAACTGAAGGACATGAGCTTGGAGACTGAAAGTGTTCATGAAATGCTCAACACACTCAGGCTTGTCCCTGAGACGTTCCAGATGGCAGGGGAAACACAGAGGTTCCTACAAGTTCCCAGCGGGTGTGGAGAAAAGTCACAGAGGAAGGAGAAGTCAGAAGGGCGTTCGCTTTCTTAACAGCAGCCCAGAAACCAAAGACAATGGAGACACAGCCTCGAAAACCCGGGAGGAAATATTTTTGATCTAAGTCTATATTTATCCAAACCATTCATCAAGTCTTTCATTAAAGTCAGCTTCCCAGCGAGGCCTCCCCTCACCACCTTCTCCAAAATTTCAGCACCCGCTCTGTCTCATATTTCATACCCTAGCCCTGCTTCATTTTCTTCCTGAGTGTTTTTCACTAGACACTGTAACTCATATTTTCATTATTACTACTGTTTATTGTCAGTCTCTCCTGCCGAAATGGAAGCTTCATGAGGCCAGGGATTTTAAAAAATACATCCAATTCCTCTTGTCTCCTTTTAATTTTTTATGATGTATGTATTTATTTATTGGCTGCACCTCACGGCTGGCGGAATCTTAGTTCCCCGCCAGGGACTGAATCCGCATCCTCGGCAGCGGAAGAGCAGAGTCCCAACCACTGGACCGCCAGGGAATTCGGCCAGGGATTTCTTTAAAAATGTTTCTTGTTGTTGATGTTCACCAGGGCATCCTTAGTACCTGTGATACTACCAATGATATAGTAGGTTCTTAATAAATATTTGTTGAATGAATGAATGAATGATTTATTAGTCATCCAAAAGGAATGTTCATTTGGGGATCCATCTGAGCTGTAAGAGCTTTTGCTGCATGATGTGAACAGCCTAGGAATCTTGTTCCTGGTTTGGATACACATGAGAAGCACGTTCTGAAGTGGCCATTTCCTTGATTGGAGTAGACCTTCAGAGAGTTAGTTTTCTAGAATTTCCATGCTGTTACACGTTTTTCAGTATACAGAAAAAGCCTTTCAAGCCTGTCTGATCATAGATTGTGCAACGTCTTTGCCCCGAACGGGAGATGTGGTGACTGTCCATGTGATTGCTAATGTCATATCCAAAGGCCAAAACCACTCTTGAGGTCTGAGCCCCAACTATGCCTGGGTGGGGCCCCTGTACATGGGCCACTAGTGGCCTCACTACAGTCAAATATCACGGCCTCATTCCCCAAAAGGGCCTGGTTTTCATTCCCACATCTGTATTCTGTACGTGTGTGTGCTTGAAATAGAATTTGTAGGCTGCTCTGAGTGAAAAAAACAATTGGGGCTAAACTACAGTTACCTCGGGGTCTGGGTGGTGCAGCTGCCAGCTGGGTACACAAGTCCAGTTACAGATCGTGAAAATCCACAGAAGACAGAAAAGATGCCTTTACAAACAGAGGAGAAGAGTCTTTTTACACTTGGTTCGGTCTGCCTTCTCAGTTCAGGAAAGGTATTTAGAAATGCTTAAACTCAGAAGGAATTTTCTGAATCTACGATGGCGTGTTGTTGGCACGGCGATGAGATTCAGCATGCTCTGGCATTCTTCCCTCGCGCTGAGTTAGTGCTGGCTGTTCCAGATTCAGAGGAAGGCTGAAGGACTTTAGATGATAAACTCCCTTTTTGTGAAGAAGGGAAGAGGACATGCGAAATGCATTTATAGGATGTCTGCTGTGTGTCAGGAACGGTACGCATGTAATTTCACTGAATCAGCATCTCTGATGAGGTCGGTGTTATGGCCCCATTTCACAGATAGGGAGAAGGTAGCTCAGAAGGTCCAAGTAACTTGCCACAAGTTACAGGTGGTAAAATGGTAAAACTAACTTATATATCCCACTTTGTCAATCCGCAGAAGCCACAATCTCTCCCTGGAAGCACACAGCCTCTAAAATTTTGCATGTAGCCACATCCATTTCCTCTAGCTGGCCTCTCTGGACCATCTTAGCTGTCCTCACACTTTTAGCCTGACCATCTGCTTGAAGATGTGGAAGCATGATGGGGGCAGCTTGGAAAAAATATTCCTGTCTTGAAGTCAGCTGAAGTAAATGATGACACGTGGTTAGAAATAATGCACGTGCTGGGGGAGTAGGGGAAGGCGCAGAGCCCTGAAAGCAAGAGTGTTGAAAGGAACCTCACAGCACTTGCAGACCTTCTGAGAAGCCTGAACACTCGGGTTCTTCCATCTCAATGGCTCTGCAAATGGAACGTGTGTTTGTCACCAAGAACTCTTGGTGACATTCTGCAAAAAATTAAGTGCACTTGGCAGGTCACATGGTGTTACACATCCTCATAATTTTCTGAATCTCAGAATCCATTCCAGAATGCGGGACATCTTCTAAAATGTTCTTTATCTTCATATGGCATGCAAGGATTTTCACTGTGTGACCTTGCTAAGAACTGAATATTCATGTTCCTCCAAAATTCATGTTACACTCCTAATCCCCACTGTGATGGCATTTGGAGGTGGGGCCTCTGGGAGGTAATTAGGTCATGAGGGTGGAGCCCCTTCCCCAATGGGATTAGCACTCTCATAAGAACAGACATGGCAGTTTCTTTTCTATCTCTGCTCTCTGGCTTGTGGGGATACAATGAGATGATGGCTAACTGCAAACCAGGAAGTGGATCCTACCCAGCCACTTTGACCTTGGACTTCCTAGCCTCTGCAACTGTGGGAAATACATTGTTGTCTAAGACACCCTGTCTTCAGTAATTTGTCACATTCGCCCAAACCAACTAAAACAGACCTCAGCCTCCCGTCGCTGCCTTATTACCCCAAATCACGCC